GTCCGGTAGCTCCGGGCTTGCTGACGGAGCGGGGTCACGGCCCGAACAAACCACCCCTGCTCGGCAAATGTTTTGCTGCACGAGGCAAAGCAGGAGCTGAGTGGGGCCGATGGCCGCAGCAGAAAAGAGGGGGGAAAATAATAACAATAAAAACTAAATAAGAAATAAAAAAAAACAGGTTTTGGGAGGATGGGGGCCTGCCCGCGCAAGGGCCTGTGCTAAGAGTCAGCAGCAGCCCCCATAGGTGCTTAAACACTGTGTGTCATCGGGGATCAAAGCCATTCTAAGGAAAAGAAAGACAGATTTCAGAATTTCTGCACGCTTCACCGGCTGCAATTTAAATAAAAAAATAAATAAATCAATGAGGAAGCAGATGACACAAACACACTGAGGCCAAGTTGCAGCGCCCTTTCTCTGCATTAAAATTAGAATTGTGGGGTTTTTTAATTTTTAAATGGCTGTAGCTACACCTTGTCCCATGCTGGGCAGGGGAGCGTGTGCTGAGGGAGTGGCTTAAAGCAATTAAGAACACAAAAAGAATCTGATTTCTTATTAAAAGACACTAAACTGCAGCTGGTGACAGGATGGGGTAGCTACAGCTGTCCCTAAGCAGCAGGACCCGGGTGTTCTGCCTGTCATGGCACAAGATCTGCAGCGTGACTAGAGGGAAAAAAAACCAGCCAACACTTGCCCACGCTTTGAATTTTACCAAAACCTGCATAGCTGACACCAAATTCTGAGCACAATCAGGAAGGCATCCTCTGTGGCAGACCTGGCGCTTCGTGGAGTGAAGGTCCGGATGAACAGCAAGGGCAGAGCAAAGGATAAAGAGCATCAAAGCTCTGCTCTTTGAACGCGGGCAGGAGAGCGTTTCCCATCTCCATGCCAAAACCAACCACAACAACAAATAAAAAAAAACCCCACAACAGGTCAACCCTCCTGGGAACGCAGTCTGTGCCGTACTGCGTGGCAGAGAGCGCAACCACCGCACCGACTAAGCAGAACCATTTGCAAAAGATGCCACTCGATGACAGTTGGTCAGTTGCTCAGAATTATTTTGGGAGGAGGAAGGCTGGCGCCAGCCAGGGAGCTGCAGCCAACACAGCACAGATGTTTTTCTGTCGGCTGGGCACTGTTTGGAGCTTTCCAGAACCAGATAAAGAGGATTTACCCTGTTATCGGAGGGAATGATCATTCAAGGCCACCTTTGGAACATTCATCTCATTTATTATTGGCACCGCCTAGAAATGTAACTGTAAAACTCATCTTGGCATGGGTTTGATTGGTCCTTTGAAAGGTGATTAATAAATCTTTTTCTGCTGCTTTTCTATTTGGTTTGTTTATCTTTAAAAGTCCGTTGGTTGCTGCCAGAGCCTGGTGGAAGAGCTCCACCCGGTGGCATTTCGTTAAGGCACAGCTGGAGGCTCAGCACTGCTTCTGGTTTAACTGGGAAGTCTCAGCTTCCAGTATTTCTCCTTAAATGAGCGATACAGGCCAGAAGAAAGCTTCCCAAGGCACTGCTGACAGTTGCTGTTTCTTTCTAAAGAAACGCAACCCTCGCAAACAAAAAAATGACCGCTTGCAGCATCTGCTCTGGGCTCAAACACCAAAACATCTGACGGAAAATACTTGGGTCGCCTCCCTGGCTGGGATGAGGCACCAAGTGCTGAGTCTGGAGCTGGAACTCGCAGCATCTGTCCCTCAGAAGTTGTGTGTGACAGAACCGTGGCTGTTTCTCCACCTAATGCTGACTTCGTGCTCTTTTAAGTGACAGCAAAGACTGGAGGGTTGCGTTTCTCTTTTGGGACATAGGAAAGAAGGACGGAAGTGACTTTTTTTCTATTTTACCAATCCTAGGAGATTTCTTGATTTTTCAGAGGACTCACCTGAAAGATTTCTCTAATGAAGAGTGATAAAAATTGTTAACCGCAAACAATCCCTTCTGTAACAGACAGAGTGACTACAGTCCCAATTACAGGATGCGTGGAATTACAATCACCAACCCTCGGGGAAGTTAAAATACACCCTGCCTCACTAAGGGCATTTTTACCATGTAATGATTGGGCTCCTGAAGCTTAATTATGGTTTATACAGCTTCAGCATTTCCTCCTCTAGATGCTTGGTAGATACCAATCAGGGAAGATATGGTCCCCAGGAGACCTACTAACCATGGAGGAAAGCGTCCAGCCCAGAGAAACCCCGGAGGCAGCCAGTGGATTGCGTTGGAGAGATCTGCCATGTTTGTGAGGATGCTCAGAACTTCAGCCTTCACCTGGGCTTTCATTTCCTTTTGACTCAGAGGCGAAGATGGACTGTTGGAAGCAAAAGTAACATCAGTGATAGCCCGTGATGGAATAATGATTAGCGATAGCTCACAAATGAGCACAGATTTGGGTTAAATTAGCTGTATGGCCAAGGAGGGAAATCATACCATTTGTGCTGCCTCAGCTTTCTTTTTAACTGGAATAAGATTCTCAGGGATCTGAAAACAAGATGACAGAGTTATTTCTCCTATAGCGTCAAAGGGGAAGGTTTTTTTCCTCTAGCATTAGCCGCATCCGTGAGGGAGAGCACCCTTCTGCAGCTGCGAGGGTCCTTCATTAACATGATTCTTTCCCTGATTACAGGGAACACGGTTCATTCCCTCTCCACCTCCTCCCCAGCACCCAGCCAGCCTTACCACAGGATGCCCAGGAGCAGGGAGAAGGCCCAGAGCGCTGTGCTCAGAGTCCACCATTTCTGAGAGCCGACGCGGATGATGCCAGCGTCAGCCGCCCACGCGACGTGCTCGCAGGGGTAGTAGAGCTGGTTGGCCAGGTTGCAGAGCACTGACAGCCCCCGCACCAGGCCGTCCTCCTCCTGCGGGGAGCACGGGGCACACACCTTGGTGCCTGCAGCGAGGCCGGGGCGGCTGCCAGTGCACCCCGTGCCCCACGCTCACCTTGGGGCCCAGCCCGTAGCCGCAGGGGGA